GGAGGACAATTTCCTCATTATTTAGACATTATTTTTGGGCCCTTTGACCATGTTGTTAATTTTATCTTCAACTGATATTACAAATTTATCTAGCTTTTTCCTCATATAGGAGATTAAGTTGTTTGAAATCAAATAAGGATTACACTTATATTAATATACAGTGATTTATCAACATTGTTGAAGGAAACAAACTTTGGTAAGCGTAACTTCCTAACTCTTTAACTTAAATTTTCATTTAACTATATTTTATAACAAAGTAACGTCTACTATTTTCATAACTAGGATTTATGTTGTTATACTATCGTCAACATGATGACATCATCAATTTGACCCACTAGTTAGATCGATTCAATCGTTCGACTCAAGACTTGATACCCTGATCGGGTCATTGCCCGAATCGGTTTCAGAACATTGGTTATAACTTTAGCTTAAGAGTGGGCTTACGATTTTTCCTTGGAGCCAATCTTCAACTTTCCGTTGTTATTTCTAGTGATCATGCGAAAACCATCTTGATCTACCATTTTGCCCTTGGCTTTATCATGTTGAGCATTATTATCTTCATGTCTTATGGCACGTGGAGAAATTTTATGGGATTCTTAGTTGATTTTTCTTCTCTTTCTTTTATTTAAAGTTACTAATATACCCTTTGCATAGTTAAATTTAACCTTAATTAAATATAATTAATCCTTTTCTTGAAAGATTTTAAATTTTAAATTTTTGTTTTTTGTAATTTTTTCTTTAAAAAATTGTCCTCTGAATGATATTATTCGTGATATTACTTAATAATTGGTTTATTTATATAGAAATTGTAAATAGTTATTATTTATTTTATTAAAGTAATGCTACACAAACCCTATTACCAGTCATTGACTATAAATCAATCATCTTTTTTATGACAATTTTACCCTCATTGACGGTAGAGTTGGGCAGTGAGGGGTTGAGCCCAATAGGGATTTTGATATGGAAAGAGCCCAATATCCCATCCACAATCAAACTTTGTAATCCATGAAATAAAGCCTTGTGTTAATTGGTATAGCAACTACTGAGAAAAACACTTTGTAGTTTGTACCATATTTTTATGGGAGAACGACTTTCTCCCACCCAAGGTTTGGCCAAATGGTCCTTTCTCACTCGTCAAGTTTCAAAATTACACTTTCTTACCCATAGTTAAGATCTGTTAAGCAAATTTGTTATCTGACAAAGATAAAATTACAAAAAAACTATTATTTGAGTTTATAATTTTATAAAATTTGCTATAATTAAAAAAAAAAATTCTAAATCTTTTTTCTTTTAAAAACTCAATTCACTATCATCTTTATGCAAAAACATCTCTCACCCACCGCCTAACCGACGCCACCACTCCCTCTTGTTCATGGCAAGCCAACAGCAGCGCCGTCAGCTGTGTCATATGACTCATATTTGTTTCTTCTTTAGCTAATTGGCAAGTCTCAACCACGTTTCGGTGTTCCTTACCTTTTTGTTGGCTCTCCTTTTTCGGAACCTCCTCTAGCTTGTTTATATTTACCTCTTGCTTAGAAAGTCTGCGCTTCTTCCCAGCTAACTTCTCCTTTTTGGTTCTCTCTAAATTTAATTCAGAGTCAGGAACTTGCTAGACTATACTTTCTATTTTTCTTGCCCAAAATTTTTTTCTTTGTCAAATCAAAGGGCCTTGGGCGGCAACCTCCCTCTCTCCTCCAAAAAGTCCACCACAATTACTCACGACCTCAGCCGCCAATGTTGGCAACCTTGCTCTAGAATTTATGTCACACAACAAATGTCAAAAGGATTTATTTTTGTATTTATTTTCATGGATTTTATGGGTTTGATTTTGAATCTTCTTTTTGTTTTGTTTTGTTTATTATGAATTTATGTTCATGGAGTTGAGGTGGAGGAATTTTTTATGGAATTAGAAAGTGAATATTTATGTAAAGCAAATTTTGGGTTGTTTGGAAGATATATGTGAACCAAATTTCGGGTTGAAAATTTGTGACCCATCATTTACAACCTTCCCAGAGGCAACTCACCCACCACCCATTTGACGAAATTCCTCACCCAAACTAATTTCTAGTTTTTTAGAACAGTTTTGTTAAGCAAAATCTGGATTGTATGAAAGGTTTATATGAAGTAATTTTTTGGTTGTATTGAAAAATTATGAAAAACAAATTTGATCTAATAGAAGAATTATGTATAATCTTTTCATATGGAAGATTTTGGTACGGTGAAAAATTATGTAAAATGTTATTGTATGAAAGATTTAAGTTTAATTTTTTATTCATAATATCAACATATGATATTAATTAATTTATTATATTTGTAGATTTATTAATTAACAGAATATATATATAGAGAGAGAGAGAGAGAGAGAGAAAAAAAACCTTTTTTACTGTTAAAATTAACGTCTAAATTTAATAATGAGTGGATAAGTGTCGTTTTAAAACTTGGCGGGTGGGACAATGTCATTTCGTCAAACCTGGATGGGAAAATGTCGTTCTCCCTATTTTTATATTTAAAATTCAAAAAGGAATAAAGCTATCAACTTGCTTAACGGTGCTGACCTTGACTTGGCAGACACTGAGTATTATAATCAACAAAATCCAATGTGGATCTGGTAGTAATGAAGTTAGTCAAAGTCATGGAGCATTAAATATTATTATTATAGGCATGACTGACTCTAGAATTATACAAAGTAACGCCAGCCTATAAATTTAGGCTCTTTGATTAATTATTATGAGAGGTTTTAAAATAATCTTTTAAAAAATATTAAATTAGATGAGTATTGTAATATAAGATTTAAAAATTAATAAAAATATTTTTTATGTTTTTTTATTTATTAAATACTTTTATAATAAAATATTAAAAGTTAACAAAAATATTTTTAATCCATCCATTAAATACGGACAGTCAATCATCATTGTTAGAGGGTAATCGGAGTATTTTTGTAATTTCTAAAAAAAATATTTAGGAGTGTTTAATTAAATTAACAAATTTAAAAGATTTAAAAGAAAATGGAAAATATAAAATAATATTTTGAGAATAATAACGGGTGCGTTTGGTTCAGTATTTTGGATAAGATTTTGGGGATATGATTGGATAGTTTGATAGGGTTATGATTACGAGAATATGATTTGCAGAATATGTGTTTGGTTGAGTATTTTGACCTTGATATTTGTGTTGAATGTTTGATTAATATATTTTTTTTATAAATAATTTATTAATATAATATTTTGTTGAAGTTTGTTAAAATAATGTATTATTAGATATATAACTTATCAAGTTACATTTTAATAATTCTAAATATTTTATTGGTAATTTTATAACCCGTAGATATTAAGAAACAAAAACCCATATTAATTTTAAGTACTAATCTAACTATTTAAAAACATCATATTAATACATATATGACAAAAGTACTAATTATCAATCTTTACAATCATTCTTATACGTATACTCCATTAACAACTACAAAAAAAAATTCAAACGTGTCATAAACTGTCAAAAGAGAACGCGTGAAAAAGGGGAAAGCTGCAAAAAAAAAAAAAAAAAAATTTAAACGGTCAAGCTGTCAGAAAAGTGTTGGAATAGAATTTTGAAAATCCTATTGTCTAAATATTGAACCAAACACTATTATCAAAATCTGACTCAAAATATGGATGAAAATATTCATCCAAACGCAGCTAACATTATAATGTTTAACTTTTTTGAGAATATTAATGATAGTATTCCAAAAGCGAAAGCCTTACCTTTCACCAACCTTATCTGTCTATATTCTATATACCTTATTCTTCAATCGCCTCGAATTTTCCTTTTTCAATATTCAAATCTGCAAATTAATCTAACTATAAATTCTAAAATATAAGGAGAAATCTATACAAGGAAATTGATTTCTTAAGGTTTTGGGCATGACTTTGTCACTGTTTAACATTATAATTGACCACTTAATCGTCTACTAATATTTCTATTCTTCGTATTAAAATTATTTTTTAACTTGGGAATACTATTGAATGGGCCCTGAAAAGATTTTAGAAAATATTGAAAGATGGTTGTATATATTTGTTTACAGTTTTCTTCCTATATTAGGGTTTCTTAATGATTTTGACCCCTTTACTTATAAACATGCTTCACTTATGATAGAATTGAAACCCACCAATCATTCATTCCAGAATCAAACCCAATATATGCCCTTTCTCATGCCTTGTCTATACAATCACAAAGAGTTAATTACTTTTTCTTTTTTTTTCCATTCAAATAATGATTTAATGACAATTTTTTACCCACAAATTTTTAAAATACTATTTTATTATCCAAATTTATATTTCGACGATGAATAAAAAGTAAACTCGGTCTAAACTATTAAAACTTTTGACTACAATCTTGTGTCTTGCCGTGCCCTAAGTGATCATCTTCATGTTGCGTTTGTTTAGCAATGATATTCGTATTCATATTCCTATATGATAGAAAAAAGTTGTAATCATAGTCCATTTATGCACGTATTATCGCTTCACGTCTTCAGCTGGATATTTCTTTTTCCCAAAATTTAATGAAGGAAAAACACAAAACATTAATGCCCATTCAAGAACAAGGTCGTGTCAGTGTCACACTTCCATACGCCACGTGTCTATGTCACATCGACAAGCGTAATAGTTAAGCATAAGTTCAACCACACGCCGTGCAACTTCACCCAAGAAAAAACCTATTGATTAATTAATAACCACATTCATATGGTTGAAATTACTACAACTTCCAATTTGAAGTGATTGAGATTAAATTGAAGCCAATACTATATTTAGATTTATTATATTTATGAATGATATTAGACACACCATATAAAAATGGAATAAAACCCTAATAATAAAGGAGAAAGATAGATATCTGTTATGGTGGGGGTGGGGGTGGAGGGGAACCGTGCTCATACCGCTATATAGAAAAAGCAAGTGATAGTCATAGAAACATAGTAAGAGATCAAGAAAGAAAGAGTCCTAGTTAGACTCCACCAATCAAATTTTGCAAATTGTGAGTTAGTTAAACTCCAAATTTTTAATTAACAACACCGTTTCTCTTTCCCGTGACTGTGAGGGAGACTCCTTCCAGTGTCACCAGATTCTCAAGAATTCACACTCCCCCAAAAACCAAGCAAATATCTCTCTGAAAATCGCATTCCTTTCCTCTTCCGGAAACAAGACGGTAAAGCCATAAAAGAAACCAAAAGTAAAATATTTAAAAACTGTATTAGTATTCTTAGAATTATACAACTCAAATAAAAGCACTTCTTCTTGTTGGTGAACTCACTCATTGTCAGAAAACCAACTCGGTGAGTCTTTTCATCGTTGCGGTATCATTATCACGTGTTTAACTGATTGTTTTTCAAATTTGGCTTCTGGGTGTTTTTGTTTATGCCATTTTATTATCTGGGTACTTTTTATTATTTCCTCCTTTGATTTGTTTTTTGTTTTTCGAGTCGGTTGCTTTATAATGTTATTGTATTAGATCCAAAGAAGTTATTGGGATTGAGTTTTTAGTCTTGTTTGTTGCTTTTTAGTTTGTGTAGATTTGTTTTTTTCTGTTTTTTTTTTCTTTTTTATGGGTTGTGTTGCTTTTGTTGTAAAGAATCAGTAGGTCATCTTTTGCTCTGATTTTCCACTGGTGGATATTTTTGGATCAAAACTTTGCGTTTTTAACTGCAAGGTGACTGTAAAAGGTGTGCCTTTGCATCTTTGTAAACTTTAGCTTCCTATTTTGTGCAGAAGTATAAAAGAGATATGCTGACATTACTTTCGTTAGTGTTCGCATTCAATGTGGTATTTTCTGTTCTTATAAATTATCGAGATATTGTTAATTTTATATATAAGTGGTGAAGATAATTAGATTCTGGGTTGAATTGGCATCAGTTTCGTGTGAAAGGTCCTTGGTTTAAATTATGGGAATCATGGGATATTGATTTTCTCTGTAATCTGGGAAGGGATATGATATACTGGTGAGTCGTTATGGTTGATTATCATGATAGCCGGCAGTCCAGTAACAATAAGTTCAGATGACTTTCCATGAGCTCGTTGTTATGTGCATCAATGCTTTGAATTTCTCAGAATGTTTTGTTTTTACCTGTACAAATAACTTTGATCGTAATATATGCATGTAGTGTCACCAAATTATTGTATCTTCCTTTATGTCGCATAAGTGAGGGATGAGGACCAAGGTTTTAAAATTTTTATTCTTTTTCAAATTTATCAAGCAACCTGGGTGATTGTATAGTAGATTAGTAGTAGTTAGTTCAATGAAAAGCTCAAAAGTGTGTTAATTGCAATTTCTTTTTTGTTTTCGGTTCTTGCTTCCATAGTTAATTCAGATAAATATGAATCCTGTTTTTCACTTGAACCATATGTGAAATTAGCCCCTAAGTTATATTCATTTATTTTTCAATTTTTTAACTTGTGCTTACATTTATCTATGTTAGACCTGTTCACTTGAGTAGAGAAGTCTTTGCCTGGTTTTCAGTATTTGGCCTCCAATCAGTACGTTCAATTCATAAGACCTCAGATAATTAATGAATTGGTCATCAGTTATCTGTGGGTCTCATGCATTGTCTAAGAGATCACTTTCTTAGAGCATCATGTTCTCTACTGCAATAATTCACCAAATTTTTTGTCTTTTTAATTAATTTTCTTTGGTACATGTTTCAGGTGTTTAATAGGATTTTCCCAGCTTATTTGATATAATTGATGGTTGAATTACTAACTAGATTACTCACCAGATATGTTATTGTAGTTAATTTTTTTGTGAGTAGTTAAGTTACTTAGGGTGCTTTGTTCTCTCATTAAATAGAATAATTGTGGTACATGAATCATGACACATAGAAACATCATTCTCCATGTTCCAGTGCATTTATTTAATGTTTGATATTTCAATTATGTGCATCCCAGGGGATTTTGCTGTTAACCACATAGGTTTCATGCATTAATTGTGTTGCTTTTTAGTTGCAAATAGTTTACCTTCCAGCATTTGCTTTTTTGTGTTGTTACGCCATAGTTATCTCATTTATTGATTTGTTTTGTAATTTTTCAGATTTTATTTACCTTTCTGCATTTTTTATTTGTTTTCATCAGTGGAAGCAAGAGAAGGTTTTTCAATGGCTCAAGATACTTCTAATGCTGAATCACACGAGAAAAAACCAGGTCTCTTAAAAGATCAAGTCCGGTTAGTTAAGAAAAAGGACTCCGATCGATATGAGATAGTTCCAATCCAAGATCCTTTGTCATTTGAGAAGGGTTTCTTTATAGTTATTCGTGCATGTCAATTGTTAGCCCAAAAGAATGATGGAATTATACTGATCGGTTTAGCTGGCCCTTCTGGGGCTGGGAAGACTGTTTTCACGGAGAAGGTTCTCAACTTCATGCCTAGCATTGCTGTCTTATCTATGGACAACTATAATGATGCTAGTCGACTTGTTGATGGAAACTTTGATGGTAATACTTTGTCCAGCCCCTCTTCACAGCTATTATGAAAGTTACTATTGGATAATTTCTTGTTAGAAAGTGCCTATGTGTCAAGAATTTGTTTGCATAACAATTGATTTAGTCTTATCTAACTTTTACAGAGGAGCTATTCTCTGTGTGATCATATACCTAAATTGTCAACCAATTAATGCACAGAAGACGTTTTTGCTCTCTAAGATGGCTGTTTGTTTATTTATGTGAGGCAACATTTAGAATTTTGTTGAATCTTTTGACAACAATTTTTTAACTTAGTCCTACCATTGAGCTAAAGTCAGAAGCCTCAACATTTTTAAGAAACAACTTAATGTCTATTTTTGAATAGGGAGGTAGCCCGCCGTGTCAGTTGATGGAAAGCTGATAATTTCTTCACAAGATTGGAGAATGTATATGGGTCTTTAGTATACATTTATTGTCTGATTTAATTATGGCGAAATCTTGGTTTTATTTGTTAGGTGAGCATAATAATTTGAAAGTATTAACCTTGGCTGTTTCTCTAACTCTGACCCATTTCTTTTTTGCATTTTGTGCCTTAATGAATAAAGAATTTGTAGATTATTTTATATGCAAATCGGATGCTTGCAAATAAGATGATGCTGGAAATTCATCATCAAAGTCTAATCTAGGAGCTGAGAGGAGCACACAGTGTTGATGTTGGTTCTGATATTTTCTCTTATTTGGAACAGATCCACGCTTGACTGACTATGATACATTGCTCGAGAATGTCCAGGACTTAAAGGCTGGAAAGTCAGTCCAGGTTCCAATTTATGATTTCAAGTCTAGCTCTCGGACAGGATACAGGTTAAACACTGGTTCATATAATACATCTAATTTGTTTCATTGTTCTCTTAGCAACCTGTTAAGTATTGTGATATCTTATCATACACTTAGAAGAAAAAGATTTTTTTGTCTTAACTACTTAATTCATGGCCATGGCCATTTTTGTGGTGGATAAATTGATTTCTTTTGTCTTTTTGTTTTTCCACTCTCCCCTTGGGCATTTTTATAGTTACATCCCAAGTGCTGTAAATCTATTGCCACAGGTTATCAACATGTGTAAAATATTTTATTCCTATGTTTATATATATAATTTGTGGGAAACTGCACTTTCTTCACTTAAGCGTTAGATCCAAGCCACAATTTTTTTTCCTTATATTGTTATTATCATTATCATTATTATTCTCAAATTCTTACTATATTGACCTAGTGTTTCTAATGCCTAAGCTGAGCACAATTTTGTGACAGGACCATTGAAGTCCCAAGCTCCCGTATTGTTATTATTGAGGGCATCTATGCTTTGAGTGAAAGGTTGCGACCTTTACTGGATCTTCGTGTATCTGTTACTGGGGGGGTTCATTTTGACCTTGTCAAACGAGTTTTACGGGACATACAACGTGCTGGCCAAGAACCAGAAGAAATAATCCATCAAATATCTGAAACGGTTTTTTTTTTTTAATTTAATTATTATACATCTTTATAATGCAATGTTGAATATCATTGTCTTGTAGATATACTCAGTTCCTTCTTCTCTACAGGTGTATCCAATGTACAAGGCCTACATTGAGCCAGATCTCCAAACAGCTCATATAAAAATAGTAAACAAGTTCAATCCTTTCACTGGATTCCAGAGTCCCACTTATATTTTAAAGGTTATTCTCCCCTAATGGCTGTTCTACTTTTTGTATTTTTATTGATGTTGAAGCACCATTGATTCAAAAAGCTTTAGCTGATACGAAGGGGCCCACTGATAATTACTTGAACTTTAACACGCCTAGTCACATGCACATATGGTTGAACTAAATTAATGGACTTGTCCCTTGGATCCCAGTATGCACTAAATACTCATGGATTCTGATAATAAGTCCAACTTGCTCCATGTTATAATTTTATTTTTGGAGGGAAATTTTAAAATAAGACCTTTTGGTTTACTTGACTTTGATACCATATTCAACACATAATTCCAAAACTTTAAGCTAACAAGAAAGGTTTAACAATAGCTTATGTACTATTCTATAGCTCTTTGGATAGCTTTTTTGATGTCTAAATTGATATATGGGGGCTTCTTTTATTGTAGTCAGCGAAGAATTTGTCAGTGGATCACATTAAGTCTGTTGTTTCTGAAGAACATACAGAAACAGAAGAGCAGACATATGACATATATCTACTACCTCCTGGTGAAGATCCAGAATCTTGCCAATCATATTTGAGGATGCGGAACAAAGATGGAAAATACAGTCTCATGTTTGAGGTTTGCCTCTTTCTTTATCATTGCAATCATATGTTCTGCATATGATTATAGCATACAGTGTTTCTTAGAGTAATATTTTGTCATCAAATTGTATGTGTTTCCTTTATGCCTGACATGGTGCTAAAGACATTTGTCTGAGTTATTGGCAGTGGAAATATATATTTATAAGGGCATCTGATTTGACAGTTTGTAATTTTTGTAGGAATGGGTGACAGATATCCCATTCGTCATATCGCCACGGATTACTTTTGAAGTCAGTGTGCGTCTTCTTGGTGGGCTTATGGCCTTGGGATACACGATAGCAACCATCCTTAAAAGAAGCAGCCATGTGTTCTCTGATAATAGGGGAGTGTGTGTGAAAATTGATTGGCTAGAGCAACTTAGTCGCCAATATATTCAGGTACTGTTAAGTAACTTCCATGTCTTGATCTACTTTTTGGGGGTTCTTAAACGGTAGTTTGATTTCTATTGAAAATTCTTCATGGTTGAAAACCCTGGTGCTTAAGTGATAATGTCAATTTGTTCATTTAGATTGTATTGTAACTGAATTCTTTAACTTGACAGTTATTTAAGATATGTTTGCAGTTTTTTCATGTCTTGTTTCTTTTTTAAAGTTTTTTATTTCATATTGATATTGCTTTTGGATGAACGGCATAATGTGATAGCAGTGTGATTATATACAAAGAAATAAGAAATAGGATCTTGAATTAAAATTGTGCAAAATCAGAACTTTTTCTTTTTTTAATTGTGGCTGAGTTATGGACGTTGAAAATTTTTAGTATGGTTTCACTTTTGATTCCCACCTTGCCCCATGAGACTCCAAATGTGAGTTTTGACACTGATTTATTACCTAATGTTCCCTTTTAAATTTTTGAGGCATACTCAAGAGGAGGGACTAAATATCCATTTAGAAAATACATGGTTTAATGTCTTCTGCTGATTTAAATGCTACTAGTTTATCTTTTATATATATATGTATATAAATGCTACTAGTTTATCTTATATATATATATATATATATATATAGAGTAGTTCCCAAGTCAGGTTTTATTAGGACGATGCTCTTATATACCGTTGAATTTATCTCAATGGATTAAAATGATATTTTACAACTCAGAGCTAATAGTATATAAGCATGGTCCTGAGAAAATTATATCAAGACTTCCTGACTAGAAAATTATCGTGTATATATGCCTAAGTGGTGAACGTTTATGAAAACTGTACTAACAGTAGCCTTCTTGTAATTTGTAAAATAGGTGCAAGGGAAAGATCGGTTAATTGTAAAATATGTTGCAGAGCAGCTGGGTTTAGAAGGCTCATACATTCCTCGCACCTATATAGAACAAATTCAACTGGAAAAGCTTGTAAATGAAGTTATGGTATGACAAATTCCAAAAGCTTATTATCTTGCTCCTATTTTAGTAGTCCTAATCTGATCATTTGACAGGCCTTGCCAGAAGATTTAAAGTCGAAGCTCAGCCTAGATGAGGATCTTGTTTCAACCCCCAAAGAAGCTCTTTCACGGGCCTCTGCTGATAGGGTTGCCATGAGAAATAAGAATCTCCAAAGGTACACAGTTCTTCTACTAGTGTGTTTTGTTGTTACTGTTTACAGTGATGAAGCTTCCTGCAAAAGTTGGCCACCTTAAATAATAGTGCACTGTGCTAACATTTTGCAGTGGTATGTCACGGTCTTATTCAACACAAAGGGATAAAGCTCTGTCGAAGCTTATGAGCTTATCTATGAATAAACAGAGGTTTGTTGATAGAAGTGGGGAGTCACAGACTATGCTAGCGAATCAGGTAAGGATGTCCTTCCATTTCTAGGTTGTTTTTACATTGTTCTGCTGATCCAGTGCTAAGCTTAAATGTTTTACCAATCAATCAGTTGTCTTTTCCTTTATTTTTTTTCTGCATCTGTAGGGAGTCATCACTCAGCTTTCAGAACAGATCTCCTCACTAAATGACAGAATGGATGAGTTTACAACTCGTATTGAGGAGTTGAATGCCAATTTAACAATCAAGACAAATTCTACCAGCCAACAAAATATGGCTCTCCAGACTGAAGTGTGCAATGGCTCTGCTCCCACAAATTACTTCATTTCAGGTTTAGGAAACGGTTCCTTGACTGGTTCTAGAATGCCTAATTCCTCATCATCCTCCCAGTTGGCTAAGGAGTCGCCTTTAATGGAAGAGGTATCATGGCTGGTCTTTCATATCCTTTCTGTCAAAATATTGTCACTGTTCTCTTTGCATCTTTTTGGGTTAAGATGTGAAAGATAAATTGCTGAGGTCGGAGATGAATTTGAATGTTAGACTGCGGGCTGCTGCTGCCAAATACATCAAAGCCACCATATTGTTAGGGTTTTAGTATGGTAGTGCCAGTTTAATGAAGTTACGTATATAGAGGTTATTTAACAAATGAATAAAAAGAATAAAGAAAAATGATGCTGGTAGACAGAAGGTTGCATTACATTGATGCGTATATAAATTTTTACATGTTAGGGAATTGACAAGAATTGTTTTCTCCACCGTTGTTGAAATATGATGATGAAACCTGCTCCTCATCACTTAACCCATTTGTGTGATAGATAGAGATAAGGAGAGGGGGGAAAGCAATCTTAAGAAAGACAATTTGCAGAAATTTAGGAAGTAAGGAAACAGTTTATATCATATTGCACCTGTTGCAGATACAAAATAGGTTATGTCCCACTATTTTGGTTGGTAGTCAGGATGCATTTTTCCTTATTGTTGTCGTGGTACATCAAGCTATAGGATGTTGAGATATCTTAGGTCAAATTACTTCCAGCTGTCCCGAGCAATATAGGATTTCTAAAATTGTGAAGCCAATTTCTTCTTTTAGCAAGCTGTTGCCAATAGACAGTGCCTCTGTGTAATGAATTGGTATAAAAATGATCATTTGGTCAAATATCAATCAAGAGCTGTACTTTGGATGTTTTATTATGGTTTAGCTTTTGAGCTACAATATTTGTTGGCTGTCTTATTAATTTTTCAATCTGCTCCTTGTCTGTTTGCAATCAGATATCAGGTATTGCACGGGCACAACGTCAAGTCATGCATCAGTTGGATAGTCTCAGCAATCTTCTTCGCGAGAGCATGGGGGAGAGATCTCGCCAAGTAAAGAAAACTGAAAGAAGTATAACTGCTGATGTTGAACCCATCAAAGTTCGTCTTATTTTAAGTTTGGCAATTGGTGGTTTAGGAATCTTGTTGTTTAAGGGCTATCTAACCCGAAATTGATTGAGTTGTGAATATTAGTTCACCTTTTTAAGCAAAAAGTGTTTTGAATGCCACCCTTCAGCACGGGAAGACAGTCAAAACTGATTGACCATTTGTTTTTAGGGTAGAGAGTATTTGAAGCAGCAAAGAGTAGTTTTCAAGGTCTCTTTGAGTTCTTCAAAGAAGGGATGCTTAAGCAAATTTTGTAACTCATTTGGCAATGTTTTATTTGTTACTTACAACCTTCTAGAGATAAATTTAATACCAAAAAAAAAAAAAAAAAAGAGCAAGTTACAAATTTTCAGATGAGTTGTTTTGCTACTCCCATCTTTTATTTCATCAAACTGAGGATTAAAATATTTAGGATTTATGTCTTTGAAGTGATTAGTATTTATTGAAGTGGAAAATGGTTTGATAATGGTGATTGGACTTATGGCATGTTTACTTACAGTTACAGGACATTCCCTTGTTTACTTTCAAAACAAAATAGGGGAATGAGCATTCCTTTGAATGCCATTCCCCAGAATAGGGAGTCCGATTTCATATTTGAGAGGAATGAGTATTCCAGAGGCAAGGAATGGGCAAATTCAATCCTTGCCCCAGTTTTAAATAAATATATCTATTTTTTTTTTTTTTCGCAATTTAATTACATATGAATTATTTAATAATTATTAAATAGTCTAAAAATAACAAAATAATAATCTGTATTTAAAAATTAGTAAAATAATTCTCTTTAAAAGTATAAAATACTTTGTTTTAGTTAAAAATAGAAAAATTTTAAAAATGAAAATTATTTTCATAATTAACGGATTCTATTAACAAACGGTGGAGAGGAGATGTTTGAGAGAATTTTTAGTCTCTAAGGGGAGGTGAGGGATACTATTTTAAACTTGTGAAGTTTATTAGAAAAACGAAAACCTCAGGGAAGGTGAGGGGGACATTTTATTAAAAGGCCAAATCAAGTTCAAATTTAATTAAAAGGCCACGTAGTTTAAAAGTATTAAGTAAATAGCATTATTATTGATTAAGGTTAATTAAACATGATTAGTGGTTAATTAGGATTAATGAAGTATTGTGTAATCTTTTAAAAATTACAATATGTCCCCAAAGAGCTGAAATTCTTGCAAACAAACCCAAACACCTTCTTCTTCTTCCTCCCGCCATTAACGCATCCCTCCCCTGGTTGTTGTTTCTTCTAAGTTTCGTCTACATCTTCTTCTTCCTCCTTCCTGTACATCTTCTTCTTCCCACCATTAACACTATTTTCTTCCTCCGCCATAGATCTTCCTCCTCCTCTTGACATTTCGTCCAGGTAATTTGTTGAATATTTTCTTGCATTGTGGGTAGCTGGGGGTGGTAACACTGATTATAGGTGAAGATGAATGAAAATGTGTTCTAGATATGATGGATCGCTTAAGCGATTTGGTATGTCTGGTATAATGTAACAGATCGTAGATCGCTTAAGCGATCAGGTATATGACAAAAAATCGCTTAAGCGATTTGCTATAAGTTTGGTATATGGCAGCAGATCGCTTAAGCGATCAGGTAAATGGCAGAAGATCGCTTAAGCGATCTCCTATAAGTCTGGTAAATGGCATATGATCGCTTAAGCGATCAGGTAAATGGCATACGATCGCTTAAGCGATCAGGCTTATTTATACCAGATCGCTTAAGCGATCTAGTAAACGATATACCAGATCGCTCAAGCGACTCTACGATGCTTTTTAAAATCTTCAACCCTTAATACATCAGTTAATAATATTTTTTTGCTTGCATTATAGGTACTTGGCTATTATTAGACATGGGACAAGTTGTTTTGGGTGTTGAATATTTTGGCGAATGGGTGGAGGAAGAAAGTTACTGGAAGTGGATTGGGTCTGCAAAGAAGTTATACCAATTGCTCTGAGTACGGAGGTTAGTTTTGATGAGTTGATTGATGAAATAATTAGAAGAGGTGATTTGAGTTGCTCACGTAGTGATATAGTTGTAAAGTATGTTTTAAGCAAAGTTCCTGAACATTATAATGTACCTCCTCCTATATTAAAGTCGGATGAAAGTGTGAAGTTATATATGATTGATGTGGCCGATAATTGTTCGAGGTCGATTTTAAGGGTTTCTTTTGTAGATAAACCGTTGGAAGTTGGTTCAAAGGAAGGGGATAACGAGGAAGTTGGTGGAGAGAATGCTGGTTTTAATTTGAACTATGAGGGCATTGATTTCTTAGTTGAAAAATCAAGAGTAGGCGGTGATTTGGGTGGTGAGAAGGACATTGTAGAAGAGGTTGGTCATGTGCGATAGAATGAAAATGTTGAGGAGGAGGACCCCGTACATGTTCCCGCAGATGTAGAGATTCTTTTAAATACAAATTATACAGAAGGTGTAGTTTGTGAGGAAGAGAACACTATGGTCCTTTGTACAGGTTCAGAGGGGGCAATTGCAGGTAGTAGTGAATCAGCTCATGTTTTTATGGATGGATCGGAGTTACGCATAAGGTATTTATTTGACAACAAAGAGGAAGTGGTGAGAAAGCTAAAACTTGTTGCTGTAAGAGGTAATTTTGAGTTCGTCACCAAAAAGTCTAATTCATCGATGGTGACGGTTGCATGTCATGACCGAAAGTGCAAGTGGCGGGTTTATTATAGAAGGTTGGCGGAGTCCAGAAAATTTATTCTTAGCACATATACCCATGAGCACACATGTGGTTTAGGACATATTTCTAGTGAGCATCGACAAGCCTCCGCTGATGTTATTGGACAATTTGTCAAAAGTCAGTTCATTGAAGGGAAATGTCCATCTTCTAAAGACATTCAGAGACTTGTGCGCACACAGTTGAGATCTGCTGTTAGTTACTGGAAATGCTAGAAAGGGAGACAACATGCACAAATTTTGTGAGAGGCACGTCGGAGCACGGGTACACAATATTAGAAGCGTACCGTTATATGCGACAAACCAAGGTAGCAAGATGGCTTTGAAGTGGGACAAAAATATAAGGTTTAAATATTTTTTTGTTGCTTACGGTTCTGTTATAAGGGGTTTTGTAAACATAAGAAAGGTGTTGATTGTTGATGGTTGCTTTTTTACTGGAAAGTATAAAGGTACATTATTGGTGGCCACTGCATAGGACAACGAGAATCACACATATCCCGTTGCATGGTGTGTGGTTGACTCTGAGAATGACAAGTTGTAGACTTGGTTTTTTCAGCAATTACGTACGATAGTGCCTGACAGTGACGAGTTGTGCATAATATTTGATCGGCATAACTCTATAAAGAAGAGGATTGCCACTATTTACTCTCAAGCACATCACAGATTCTGTATAAGGCACCTTGGTGAGAACATAAAACAAAAGTTTAAGTGTGTTGGCCTCCTTCAGACATACTACATGACAGCAAAAGCTTATAGAGTTGATGAGTTCAAAAAGCACTTCTGGCAAATCCGAATCAAGGATGATATAATTGCTAAGTATATTGAGCATGATGTTGGTTTCGAACGATGGAGTAGAGCTTACTTTCCTAGAAGAATGTTTGATGTCATGACCACGAACATAGCCGAGTCCATAAATTTGAAGTTGTTAATAGAAAGAGAGTTTCCAATAGTTGCCCTTTTGATGCAATCTAGAGGATATTGTCACGGTGGTTCCATGAGCGTTGTACAGAGTCAGATAATTTTACCACAACCCTCGTTCTGTCAGCTGAAAAATTATTGCGAGAACGTATGGAACTGTCAAATACACTATTTGCCTATCCTCTTAATGCTCAAGAGTTCACCGTACGTGGCTATGATCCGGATGCCCTAGTTAACATTCTTAGTAAAACTTACAGCTGTAAAATGCTTGACATTTAATGTTTACCTTGTCTTCATGCACTAACAGCACTGAAACACCAGCGGAAGCCGGATTTTGGTTCAAGAATTTACATGGAACTTTGCTCCCCTCTCTATATGGCAAATCACTATATGCTGGCTTATTCGGAAACAATATATCCAGTTCCTCTAGAAGAGCAATGGGTGGTGCCGCCAGAGTTGGTTCCATTATTATCCATCCACCATTCAAGAAGACAAAAAAGGGGAGAAAAAGAGTTAAGCGTATTCCATCAGCCTCTAAGGTTCCCCGGAGGATGAATAAGTGCTCAATTTGCAAGCAAGCTAGCACAAGAGAAGTAGTTGCCAGAATCGATCACATGCAGATCCAGAAAATTAGGTTCGAAGAAGGATGAAATCGAGAGAGTTGCCAAGGTCAACCATTGAAGAGTTGTTGTTTTAAATTTTTCATGTTTTAAATTTTATTGTTACCTTGAATAAATCATCCTTTATAACTTATTAAATCAAATTAATTATTTTTCATTTTCATCAATTTTAAAAAGGGTTTAAGTTAGTAAAATTTCGAATATTACCTCTAAACAACACTGATAGCTACCTAAAGAAGCAAGGCAAGCAAAATAAATATTATCAACATCATTGTCGTATCAAGATAATCAATCAATCAATCAATCAATTTACTGAATTAGTCACGAGTCTGGCACATTAGTAGAAACGTATCTCATTTCACAACTATGGATGGTTATGATTGAATATAAAGCTCAGCCACAACACGGAATATAATTTCTCACTCAAACGTGCACAATATCAAAAGATTGGCAAGATGAGAAGAAAAATAGCCTTGGTCGCTTAAGTGATCACGAATCGCTTAAGCGACCAAGGCCAAAAGTGAAGAATCGCAAAAGCGATCAAGGGTAAAAGCGAAGAATTGCTAAGATCAAGGGTAAAAGTGAAGAATTGCATAAGCGATACCTTAAATTGCATAAGCGATAGTGATCGTGCATCTAGGCAGATTTTGATTCTGCCCTGGACTTGATCACTTAAGCGATCCAAAATCGCTTAAGCGACCAAGGGTAAAAGCGAAGAATCTCTTAAAAGAGACCATAAATTGCTTAAGTAATCGTGTATCTGGGCAGATCTTGATTCTACCTCGAACTTCATCGCTTAAGCGATTTTGGATCGTTTAAGCGACCAAGGGTAAAAGCGAAAATCGCTTAAGCGAGACCATAACTCGCTTCAACCTAATTGCATCAACACATCAATGTCATGTAACAAGAATACTAAATGAACTCAAACTCAAGAGAGAGAGAGAAATACTGAATTGCTTTTGTATTAATCTGAAATGTGTCAATTACATTCAATGACAACATTATATACAACAAATAAATCTCTTATATACACCGAAAACAAAAGCAAGGCCAGCAGCCTCCGTCCCTCATTTTCAT